GACACTGTTTCCTCTGATACCTCTGCGATAAAGACAGCATAAAGAAATCAACAGGTATCACACTGTTGGATATATATGCATAAATCTAGGTGTTTTGCAGTCATTCTCAGCCTTGAAAGTGGAGTGAGAATGGACGTCATCTCTCTTACATGCTTGCATTTAACATTTCCCAAAAATTAATGAGTCATGCAAACAGAAAATTTTTTTCTAAGGCAGAATGAAAGTGGAAGATAGGAAATGTTTTCATGCTGGCATTCTGATTTATTGTCGATGAGGAAATAATTCTGGGTAAACTCACTGTTTTCAGACAATATTGTATACAGAAAGGAATTAACCAAATGTGGACTTAAAATAGGCACCCAGTGGCTCACGCCTGTAATCCCAGCACTTTGCGAGGCAGAGGCGGGCGGATCACGAGCTCAGGAGATCGAGGCCCTCCTGGCTAACACGGTGAAACCCCGTCTCTACTAAAAATACAAAAAATTAGCCGGGCGTAGTGGCGGGCGCCTGTAGTCCCAGCTACTCGGGAGGCCGAGTCAGGAGAATGGCTTGAACCCAGGAAGCGGAACTTGCAGTGAGCCGAGATCGCGCCACTGCACTCCAGCCTGGGTGGCAGAGCCAGACTCCGTCTCAAAAAATAAAAAATAGGTACCCAGAACAACTGTAAGTACCTCAGTTATGTAGACATGGGGCTCCAGCCCCATGACAGCTGGAAGCCATACAGCAGCAGGAAGTATATATAATTGAAATTTAACCTCGCCGTTTTATATGGTTTGGATTCTTGTCCCCTCCAAGTCTCATGTTGAACACGATCCCCAGGGTTGAAGGTGGGACCCAGTGGGAGGTGTTTGTGTCGTGGGGAAGGATCTCTTATGGATGGTTTGGTCCCCTCCCCGTGATTATGGGTTCATGAGAGAGCTGGTTGTTTAAAGGGCCTGGGCCTCTCCCTCTCTTGCTCCCTCTCTTGCCATGTGATGCACTGGCTCTCCCTTCGCCCTCTGCCATGATTGTAAACTTCCCAAGCCCTCATAGAAGCTGAGCAGATGGCGATGCCGTGGTTGTATAGCCTGCAGAGCTGTGAGCAAATGAACCTCTTTTCTTTATAAATGACCCAGTCTCGGGTATGCCTTTAGAGCAATGCAAAACTGACTCACACACCATTATTCTCTCCCAATATCCTTTTTGTTTTTCCTCTTGATTTAGACCTAAAGGTTTCCTGGCCCCTAAAACCGTCTGACTAGTAGATTTCTAGACTGGAAGAAAGCATTTCAAGCTAATTCTCTATGAAAAGTAACTCTGGAATCTCTACCTCCCTTCTGTTTCTAACACCCATTCTGTATACATGAGTACTATGGTCAGGTCCCTGTCATTCCATTTCTTTGGAGACTATCCTGAGTTTCTACAGGGAAATTTGAAATACCTTATATGGATGTGTTTCAGAGCCTACATCTGCCACCTGATTAACGCCTGCTCTGCCAGGGCGGGACACAGTGAGTTTCATCAGGAACACACTTGCCTTACTAGTAAGAGAATGTGCTGTAAGCGGGGCAGGTTAAAAGGTCTCTCTTGCTCTTTTACTGTTTTGAGTTATTTCATTCTACGTTCACTTTAATTTAAGCTTTCCTCTTCCTAGGAAAATTACTATCAATTTCTACAGTTCTTGAGAAACCACTCCCAAGGGTGGGGGGAAAAGCTTTCTTCCTTCCTAAGTGCAATTTACTTTCAAGTACTTTATAGGTCGGTAGGCTTGACACTCAATCTGCAATTTGTCTTTTTCACAAATGTTAATTTCAAGTATTTGCAAAAATTGTGTATTTTGGGAAGCACTCATACATTTTTAAAGCAGCCGGCAACAACAAAAGGAAATCACCTGTGTCTGTAAATATAGCTGCTGTTGCTGTCACAGATTCAGTAACAAAAAGAAGAAAAACAATTCCTTTTCATCCCTGCCAGAAGATTTTCGAGTCTTGAGCGTTTTTTAAGGAACAGTATAATGAGTTACAATTGCAGTCCTTGTGCCCAAACGTTAAGTCTCCATGGCACCTGGAAATGAAGGCACTGCAGAAACAATCCTCCAAAACTAAGGAGAAATCAGCTTCACATTTTTCCCAAAAAAGAGCTCTGCTGTTTCTTTCTTTCACTTGCAAGAGACGGAGAGGCAGAATGGATTGAAGAGAGAAGACTAGCTAATTTGGGAGAACCCAAAGATCCCAGGTAGCATGTCCTTTGCTATAGTTAAAATACAAGAAGCAGAGCTGTGAGCTCACTAAAGTGTTCGCCTCCAGCCTTGAATTTGCAAAGGCACTAAAAAGAGAAGTTACTATTTTACTGCCATTGATTCAGTGCCGTGATGAGATTCCGGGTTATTGCCGGATTTATTATACAGGGGTAAACTCAACTAGTAGCTAAATTTAGAGAACTCTCTTGCTCTAATTTAGCATTTATGACCTGTCACAAGTGTACTTTGTTCATCTTTTAATGCATCACCCAGAAATATAACTTCTCATTTAAAAATGTATTAATCTCACTACATGGTAATATAGCCGAAACAGTTAGAATAAATATGAAGTATGCATAAAATGCTGGTGAGCTGTCACCAATTAAACAGCTGAAGCATTAATATTGTTTTCCATGTTGGCTGTGTCTGTAATTAGGTAGGTTTGGGGGAGTCTGTTCTTAAGGCTTTCTACCTTTTCTTCCCTTAGTAATCTGATGTTCTAAATTCACAAGTACTTAGACTTTGATAAAATAAATATTCCTACAGATGAAGAGTCAGTTTACAGGATGAGGGAGGAGGACTCTTCAAGTGGACATCAAAGGCGCTGATGCCCTTGTTCCCTTGTCAAGACCTATATAAGTAACTGGCAAAAATAAATAAATTGAAACAAAGCAAGTGTTCAGTGGTAAGTATACATAAATACTATGGAGCTATTAAAATGAATATATAAATTAAATCTCTACCTGTTAACTGGAATTTTTTTGTCTTTTTTTTTTTTTTTGACAGAGTCTCACTGCTATCACTGAGGCTGAACAGCAGTGGCTTAGTCTAAGCTCACTGCAACCTCAGCTTCCCAGGCTCAGGTGATTCTCCCACCTCAGCCTCCCAAGTAGCTGTGACTACAGGTGCATGCCACCACACCTAGCTAATTTTTTGTATTTTTTTGTAGAGATGGGAGACTCAGCATGTTTTCCTGGCTGATCTCAAAAATCTGGGCTCAAGCAATCCTCCCGCCTTGGCCTCCCAAAGTGCTGGGGTTACAGGTCTAAGCCACTGTGCCCAGCGAACCTGAAGAATTTTAAAGAAATTTTTATTTAGCAAGAAAAGCAACATGGATGTAATACACTGCATTCTAGTAAAACGTTGGTCCTCACCCCGACCTGCCTTCATACATTTGGATGTCAGCATGGGCGTGTGGAGCAGCAGTCAAGGACAAATGTTTCAGGTTTGAGCTGGCCAAAAGCTGAGTGAAGGGAGGAAGGAACAAAGATAAGCAACACAGAAAGAATAAAGCCACTAAAACAGGAAAACTTTCATGACGCAGTACCACTTGTGTAAAATTGCGCATGTGTGCACATACACATAGATGTGTGCAGACATATTTGCCAAAATAGTCACTGTAGTTATCTTAAGGTGGTACATATTTAGGCACTGTTTCTTTCTTTTGATATTTTTCTGTATTTTTTTAAATCAGCTGCATTATATATTAAAACAAACGATTATTTCACTGTGACAAAAATAACATAATAAATATTCTCTTTTAGCAAAATTCTGTTGCTTGGGCATCTTTATAAGTGTAATACATAATCAAATATGTAAAAATAGAAAATCATCCAATAGCCAAAAATATCTGCATTTTAGTCCAAATATGCAGACGTCTCCAAACTTTTATTATAGCACAGGGAGTTCTCATGAAAAGTGCCTAAAGCATAAATTTAATATCTGGTTATTTTGGTCATTTGGAGAAAGTCAGTCATTATAACAAAAGCAAAGGTAGATAAGATGGTATAGGTTTGAACATGTACATGGTATTCAGTAAAATCAACAGTCAAATGCACACATGCACACACGCCTACATACAAACATGTATGAAAACACTGATTCAAAAGTGAGGACCATAGAACTGTACACCCTTACTTCTCAGGTGTGTTTCTTAACTCTCAAGGGCCAAAACTTCCTTATCTGTAAATTTGCAGGCGGGAACAAAATCAATGATTTTCATACCAAGCTGTTTCATGGAAGTGCTTAAGGAATTTTACAAACCTTTCCGTTTAAACCAAGTTTGACTAGTTTTAGAAATGAAAATAATAAAAACAGTATCACAGGAAAGTGTCGTTTGTTACAATTTAGCAAACTAAAGGCCATTGACACATAAACTTGCACTGGTCAATTAACTCATTTTTTATAGGATTCAGGAATTGTTTTTCCAAATGTTTTCCTGTGATATATTCAAAGTCCTTGTAAACCTATCATTGTCAGAAAGCTTGTAGCCCTGTACGAGTCCTTTCTTTCTCTTTGTTATTACACCTATGTCAAAATGCACAAAAGTGCACTATCTACCCCACGGGTGCCAAGCACTGCTGGATGCTGGGCTCAGGTCACACCATGGCACAATGGCAACTTTTCATAACAGCAAATACAGCACATGGGCCCTGTTCAGAATTTCAGAACTTAAAATCAACAAGGAAACTTTAAAGATGAGTCTCAGTAAACACATACATTAAATGTAAATCACATACATTGAGTTGATTAAATTATTACCATATTAGGAACTTAAGCTGAAGTGTTAGCAATGGAACTAAAACTTAAGTTGCATAACAAATCAAATAGAAGCGAATGGTTTAAATTTTCAACAGATATTGACTAAGGAATCTGTGATTTAAAAAATAAGATTCCTAAACATCTCAAAACGTCGGAAAATACTTTGAAGCCTATTTTCTGCCAAGTAATATGAATGTATTAACTGGTTAAAGAAAATAGTTACTGACTTTCTCCAATTTGAACATTTTCCAGATGAGAAATGCAGAGGTTTTGGATACCATACTCCCCTGCTCTAAGAGACACTTTTCGTTTTCACATTTGAAGATCCCTGTCACCAGGATTCATCTCACAGCTGATGGTGCCCTCCCTCGGCTGTCGGCTTATGCATAGGCACCCACGGGGCTCACCAGTGTCCCTGGTTATTCTCTCTTCCCTGGACGTATAGAACAAGTCAACATAACCACCTCTCTGATGTCAGGGGTTGCTCGGAGACCAACTTTGTCCAGTGGGATATGTGGAGCGGCCGTATCCACAGCTTCAGATGGGAGCTTAGATTTAGGCTTCCACAGCCCAGGCTTCATCCGCTCAGTGGCCAGCACTGCACAGGCAGAGGTGAGCCCGGGGGGCCTCTGGCTGGCTTTGAAAATGATGTCACATATCACCCAATCCTAGAATTCAGCCTCTACAAAGCTTCTGCATTTAACCCGTTGGACAATTAGTCAGTTTCAGAACTGCTTCTACTGCTTTGTTAAGGGTAATAATAAGACAACTACGGGCCGAGCGCGGTGGCTCAAGCCTGTAATCCCAGCACTTGTGAGTGAGGCCGAGACGGGCGGATCACGAGGTCAGGAGATCGAGGCCCTCCTGGCTAACACGGTGAAACCCCGTCTCTACTAAAAAAAAAAAATACAAAAAACTACCCGGGCGAGGTGGCGGGCGCCTGTAGTCCCAGCTACTCGGGAGGCTGAGGCAGGAGAATGGCGTGAACCCGGGAGGCGGAGCTTGCAGTGAGCTGAGGTCCGGCCACTGCACTCCAGCCTGGGCGACAGAGCGAGACTCCGTCTCAAAAAAAAAAAAAAAGACAACTACGACTGTCCGGGAAGGAGGGAGAAGTAGAAAGAAGAGAGACAGAGATTGAAATAGCCTCAGCTTTGTAGAGGGAAAGGAAACACTGATAGCATGTCATGCTATTTTCTTGGCTGGGGAAAAAAAGCAGTTTTAGATTCAACAAATATATTTTTTTAAGTTTCTACTATGTGCCAGGCACTAGGTTGGGTTATAGGAATATAACAGTGAGATATGGAGGCCATTGGTTTTCTCACAGAGCAGAGAGTGCATGAGGAAAGATGGGTGGTTAGAAGTCACACGTGTGCTATGATAAGCACTGTGCTGGAGGAACAAGAGCAGGAGCCTTGCCTGCAGGGAGTGGAGGCCAGGGGCACGTCCTAGGAAAGCCACTATCACACAGAGACCCGCAGGAAGAATGCTTGGTGCTAAAGGGAGATAGAAGGAAGATTTCTATCAAAGGGAAGTGGACATAGACTTGACTAGTTAAAAAAGAAAAAAGAAAAAAGAGTATGGTCCTTTTTGGAACTGGGTTGCGAGAACCCACAGTATGAGGAAGACATGGATGGTTGTTAAGTGGCTCAGCTGTCAAGAGAGAAATCTGGTTTAGATGCAAATGACTTAGGTGCACTGACACTAGACTTTTTAAAACTCTCCCAGAGTTTCAGATTTCAAAGAAAAAAGTTTGTGAAGCAAATTTTAAAAGGAGAAAAATGTATCTCTCTAGGGAATTGCTCAAAGATGAATAAAGAAGTGAGTTTTAAAGTTCCTTATAATCTACAAAGAATGAAAGCAGATCATTTCCAAAGCTTAAGTTGATGATAGACTTTTTTAGTAACTCTCAATCAAAGGTATGCCACACTGAAACAACACAGTTCTGCCTATCTTAGTCCTAATTATCTTAAATTTCAGAAACTGTTGGATGCAATAATTCTAGGAAGTTTTTTCAAATAAGATATAGTAACAGTGTAGTGGAACTAGAAGTTTGAAAGCTGATTAATACAATTGGCAACTGCTACTTATTCCGAATTACCCCTTAGAGAGTTGTGAGTTAACCACATCTTAAAAGTGCATACCTTTTGCATATTAATATATGACTGTCCCCAATCCTAGTTAGCATCACTTAAAAAGTAAAAAGTGTGACTATGAAAATTGCTTTACAATTGTGAGCTAACAGAAAGTGTGAACTTTGCATACTTTCTTTTACAGATATTGATATATTAAATATTTAATGATTACTTTTCCAGAATGATAACACAATTAGGTGATAAAATCATAACAAATCTAAACCACAGTCACTCTAAATGAGCTGCTTTCAGCTAATAATAACAAGTGTGAAAGGAGTCAGCAAATTTTGAGAAGCTGATTAATAACATCATTAGCAACCAATATTGACAACTGGCAATTTCAAACTTTAGCTAGCAAAAGTGTATTTGCAGGTCTTCAACAAGGTAGAAATCAGCTTAGCAAATATTCAACAGAACCACAGATTGTTTTATTGAATCTTTCCTTCCTTCCTTCTTTCTTTCTTTCTTTCCTTCTTTCTTTCTTTCTTTCTTTCTTTCTTTCTTTCTTTCTTTCTTTCTTTCTTTCTTTCTTTCTTTATTTTCTGAGACAGAGTCTTGCTGTGTTGCCCAGGCTGGAGTACAGTGGCACAATCTCAGTTCACTGCAACCTCTGCCTCCCAGGTTCAAGCAATTCTCATGCCTCAGCCACCATGCTATAGCTGAGATTACAGGCATGTGCCACCATGCCCGGCTAAATTTTATATTTCTGGTAGAGACAGCGTTTCGCCATGTTGGCCAGGCTGGTCTTGAACTCCTGACCTCAAGGAATCGGCCCTCCTCGGCCTCTCAAGTGCTTGGATTATAGGCCTGAGCCACTGCACCTGGCCAAGTTTTTCATATAACATATTTTAAAAGAGATTATATCTTTTGGTAATGAAATCAGATAGACCCATAGGCCTCAAATCCAAAATACCATCAAAATCCCCTAGGAACTCATTTCAAATGTAAATTCTAGGACTTCAGAAGATGGTACTTATTTTTCTCATCAATTCGTATGTCTTCCTGACAGAATACATTACAGATTAAAACAGACACACACACGCACACACAAGGAAAACAGTCAAACAGTACAAATTCCAATAGCGGACCAGAAATGTGAGTAATACCTCCTCATTATAAAATGGACAGGCTCACACTGAGAAAGTAACAGAGAAAACCGAAGTCTTCTTATGGGTCTTCCCATGGGAATCCGAGAGAAACTGTTAGTTCAGAGTCAACAAATGTCAGAGCAGAGATGGACTGCCATGAAAAGACCCAATTCCCCCACGTGCTCCTCTCTTTCTGTTTTAATTGAACAGTGTCAGTAGCTTCTGATACCAGTCCCAAAAATTTCACTGTAAAGAAAATTGTCTCCCATCTAAGGAGGGCTTATAGGACCTGTGAGAAATGAAGGGCAGAGTCTGAGGCAAAAATCATGCTCCAATTCCAAGGTGAAGCTTTCCTTGCCTTGGTGAGTTTAGAATTACATCCAGAGGAACAGAGCATGCAAGCCAATATCTGAGCTCTTGCAACCACTATAAAGAAGGAGCACAATCCAAACACCAAACACCACCTTAGGTAGAATTCATGGAACAGACATATCAAGAATTTAAAATAGGATAATCCTTATCCTCAGAGGCAGACAAGAAGACAGTAGTAAGCAGAAGTCAAAGACCATTTGGGAAAATAATTGCTATGAAAACATGTAATAATTTACAGAATGCATTGATGGGGAAAGTAACAGATAGCACCAGGATGAAATAGAGAGCTGGAAAATTGATGGAGAAACTGTCCCAGGATTCAGTAGGACAGAATCTAGTAGATACCAGAGAACAAAGCTCAAACATATGGCATGTAGAAATAGACTTGCTGCACGGAGATAATAAAAACTTGAAGCATAGAGAAAAAAAAATCAAGGAAGGAATAATAGGAATAGCTTTCCCCGGAATTAAAAATGAAATTTCAGATTTCAAGATTTCTTGAATTCTAAGTAGGACAAGGAAGGTTCATACCCTTCCTTGTGATATCAGAGTGAAACTTAAGAACAAGGATTTTAAAGATCTGAAGTCATCCAGAGAAATATTAGATGGATGGGTAGACAGATACATAGATAGGATAGAGAGAGAGAGAGAGAGAGAGAGAGAGAAAGAGAGAGATAGATAGAGATGATAGATGATAGATAGATAGATAGATAGATAGATAGAGATGATAGATAGATAGAGATAGATAGATAGAGATGATAGATAGATAGATAGATAGAGATGATAGATAGATAGATAGAGATGATAGATGATAGATAGATAGATAGATAGATAGATAGAGATGATAGATAGAGATAGATAGGTAGAGATGATAGATTAGATAGATAGATAGATAGATAGATAGATAGATAGAGATGATAGATAGATAGATAGATAGATAGATAGATAGATAGATAGAGATGATAGATAGATAGATAGATAGATAGAGATGATAGATAGATAGATAGATAGATAGATAGATATAAAGACAGACAGCAGATACACAGATAGGTATACATACATATACAGACAGTCCCTGACTTATGATTGTTCAACTTAAGATTTTTCAACTTATGATGGTGCAAAAGCCATAGGCATTAAGTAAAGCTGTACTTCAAATTTTGAGTTTGATCTTTTCCCAAGCTAGCCACATGCGGTACAAAACTCTCTAGATGCTGGGTGACTGCCGCAGGCCCCAGCTCCCAGGCAGCCACAGGATCATGCGGGTAAACACCTGCTACTCTACAGTTTACTGTGTTGCCAGATAATTTTGCCCACCAGTAGGCTAATGTAGGTGTTCCGAGCATGTTTAAGGCAAATTAGGCTAAGCTATGATGTTCGGTAGGTAAGGCGTATTAAATGCACTTTTGGCTTACAATATTTTCAACTTAGAATATTTTCAACTCACTATGAGCTTACAGGGAGATAAGTCCATCTTAAGTTAACAAGCATCTGTACTTAGGAAGAACAGAAAACTGCTTGACATGAGTCTGCCAGCAGCTCCACTTCATGCGAGAAGGTAATACAGTGGTATTAGCAAAAAATTACAGGAGAAAAAAAATTACCCCACCAAACCCTGAAGCTCTGTTTTGAGTAACAGTAAGAAAACCTCTTCCCAATCAGTCACAGCACTGCTGTCCTCACCCCTACATTCAATCCCTTGTCAAATCTCTTGATTCTCTCTGGGAAGACTCTCGAATATGATTCTCCCTGTTGTATTTCCAGTGCTCAGACTCTGTTTTATACCCAGATAACAACTCCTTCAAACAATCAGTTGCAAGAGTCTCCTAGTTCATTCCCTTGCACCCAGCCTCATGCCCTCTAAGTTGCTCTCAAAATTGTCTTTCTTTCAAACCATTTTTATTATCCTCCAACATAGGAATTACCCGCTCCCCCAACACGCACACACCCTAAGGGGCTTCCCTGGCATAGCCAGCTGTACTTTATTTCTCCCTTTCTTATTCTCCCTGTAGGCTTTCTGATTCTGGGTTAACGTGGAGTGTAATTGACCTTGTATTATAATTATTTGTTTAAATATATGACTCCCAACTAGATTGAGAGCTTCAAATGAGCACGAAGCTTAACTCACTTTTGGATTCACTAAAGTGAATGAAGTCTCTCCGTAATTTAGCTCAGTCGGTGCTCGGTACGTGTACGTAAATATTTTTACATGGCAACATATCTAAGAAAGACACCAGGAGTTTTTCCATTTGGGGTATCTATCTCCATTAAGTCCTGTGCAAAGATAAGAGTGTCTCTGTAATAAACATGGCCCAGTGCAGTTGAAAAAGAAAGATCTGCTAGGGTGGTCACTCATTTGCATGCAGGGGACATGGGAACATGGCAAAGGAGACGCTGTAAATCACCCCAGAGCTGGGAGACAGGGCCTCTCGGAATGCCTGGCTCAGAATTATTAATTAAAGCTTCCTCAAGGATGGCTTGTTTGCACATCAGTTGAGCTAAGCCACACTGGTATCCCTGTAAATAATAAGACAGCCCGATTAGGCCTACCCATTAATTAAGTGTCTTTGCTGTGAATAAACAGTGAAATCTTTCAGTCTGAGAGGGCCTATGGCGCAGTGATAAATGTGCAGCTGTTGACACTCCTGTAACACAGTCTGACATCTCCATCAGTTCATCGGAGCTCCCTCCCCAGGGACACAAGGCGCGTGTCATGGGAAGATGACATTTCTGCCATACTTGGCCCCTAAAGTTATGTCATATGCAAGTTTACAAATAATCTGAGCTGGGAATAAACAAAAGGGAAAATCGTTCAGGCCCTTAACTGTGACCCTCAACTGTCACATTTAATTGTCTGAGACACTGGTGTGTTTTGGGTACACAAATTTGGACAACAATAATACAGTGCTTTTACTTTTATGAGAATGTAGAAGTCTGTTATTTAAAAAAGTGATTTGGGGTCCAATTATAGACTCTTCCAAAACCGTAGGCTGTTTTCTAACTTAAAAAAAAGTTTCAGCAAATGCCTTCAAGCTATTGAAGACAGGAACTAGTGTGTATTATGTTTACACCATTCGAAAAGTAGTTCTCTCACTGCGTCAAGCACTAAGTTCCCTTCTATTTTGCTGCCCATAGAAGGGCTTTGTAAACTGCAAAATACACACCAAATGGAAAGGATTGGTTTTTTATTGTAATTTTCCCATGAAGCTCTATTGCTAATGGGTAGGTTACAGCATCGGTGAATCAAGTTAACCTTCTAGAACCTAGAACCAAGGTTCTCAAATTCCTCCAACATTCACCTCTATTCCAAAATTTTCCAGGAAGCTATTAGCAAGAGCCAGTAGGATAGGGGAGAAGCACCGCCGTGTTCGTCACTACAAAACTCGAGAACAAATTCACTGAAAGCTTTTGTTAGGGGATTTGACTTCCTCCCAAGGAAGATCGTTGCCTTCTGTTGCCTTCTGCTCTGTCCCTAGAGCCCAGATCTCACAGTTTCTAGTCCAGAGTCCAGATAGAGTTGGCAGAGAAAAGTGGGAGGTGCAAAGAATACTCACCCTGGTGTTCCGGATGAAAGAGATGAAGGGAAGAGAGGACAGTCAGCCATGCAGGCCTCAGGGGCTTGTTCCCCAAACAGGGCAAGGGCAGGAAATGCAGAGGCAAGTGAACTGAGCTTCTGGGACTCTCACCAGCCTTGCCTGGGCATAGTCTGCATCTGAGATTCTGTCCAATCAGATGAGCCACCTGTCCTCAGAGAGGTAACTATCAGGAGTGGGTAAAGCTGGCCTGATATGACCAACCTCGCATTAGAGTTTCTTACATTCATCTTTTCTGTCCCCCACTAGACTTAAGTTCCTTGAAAACAAACCACACATCCCTTCATCTCTGCACCCCCTCCAGAGCCTTGCAGAGTCTTCACTGTCATCACATTCAAGCGCAGGCTGCATAAAAGAAGGAAGTAGGAATGGAATGGACGGTTAGTGTGCTGTGAATAAGGTGACACTCAGTAGATCGCTGGCCACATGGACAGTGGAAGGGGATTTTCACAGAGCCACCAAAACCAATATTCCAGGTTCACCTAACATAATGTAACTGAGAATCCTTGGTTCTAATTTGAGACACCTGATACGTAAAGGAAGAAGCATGATGGAGGCCCCAGAGACCGTATTTATTACTCAACAGGGCAGGAACTTGGGAAAAGGCCACTGGTGTCCAGGGGAAGAGTTCAGGCCAGTGAATGAAGCCCCATCATGAGCCAGGAACTGAACTAGTCCTGGCTGAAAATGCAACCACAGCACACACTTCTGCTCTCAAGGGGCTTAGGGTTCAGAGGAGGAGAGACTTATATAATACATGTGTGAGACAAAATCACAAGTGCGAGAAGCCATGTCTACTCATTCCTGCTTGTCAAGATAATTTCCCACAGCCCCTGACTCTGTGAGGCCATGCACCTCTTCGGGAAGATGCTCTGAAGACAAAACAGGATGGAGCACATGGCCCCTACATCACTTGCCTGAGTCACTATACTCCTTAAAAGATGAATGACCCTAACCTTGTCTTTTCCTACACAGAAGATAACGTTTGACAGGGTTAGTGACTATGCCTCTGTAATTCATAACTAAATGTATTTTAGTCATCTATAACCAAATATACTCTTGCACCCAGACTTTGACGTGATTTTGCACGTACTGAACCTTCACCGCTCGTCCATAAACTGTGAGCTGAAACACCATGTTGGAGCCTCTGACGGAACTGCTCCCGGGCTGTAGGTCTCCATCTACAGTCTTCGGTAAGGCTTCTGAATAAAACTAACTTTAATTCTTTAAAAGCTTGATTTGTTATTCTTTAGTCAACACATAACAACCCAAAGAATCATTGCAAAACACAGGCTGGAAGGGTGAGGAGTGGGGCCATTGCTTTTTTTAACTGAAATGATCTGAGGAGACGTTCATGGTGTTAGGAGCTGAATGCTGAAGGATTCTGGGACATTAAGAAGAGGAGGTAGAATTCTAATTGGGGTGAGAAGCAATATAAATAACAAACAGAATGTGAATGTCACATTAGGGGAAGACAGAAGGAGAAGGAAAAATAAGAGCAGTCTCCTTTAGTGCAGAGTAAAGGATCAGAGACAATGTAAAGAAGGGTAAATTGAGGTCAGACTGTAGACAGCCTCTGATGCCAGGTGAAGGGGCTTCGCTGTATACATGAGCAATGGAGTGATAGGATGGGAATCAGCCTAAGTGTGCAAAACGAAGCAGGGGGAGAAGGATGGGCATTGGAAGATGGTCAGGAAGCCATTGCAGTAACCCAATGTGCGTCAACCGAAGCAAGAATAAAGTTCATGCTATGGGGTTGAGAGGAAATGATGAAGTAAGAGATCTTGAGAGGATGAGCTCGCTGGCTCACGCCTGTAATCCCAACACTTTGGAAGGCCGAGGAGAGTGGATCATCTGAGTTGGGGGTTCAAGACCAGCCTGACCAACATGGAGAAACCTTGTCTCTACTAAAAAATACAAAATTAGCCAGTCATGGTGGTGCCTGCCTGTAATTCCAGCTACTCAGGAGTCTGAGGCAGGAAAATCGCTTGAACCCGGGAGGCAGAGGTTGTGGTGAGCCAAGATCACGCTATTGTACTCCAGCCTGGGCAACAGGAGGGAAACTCCATCTCAAAAAATAATAATAAATTAAATTAAATTAAAAATTAAAAAAAAAAAGACAGACTTTAAGAAGAAAGAACCAATGAACCTGTCACAGCTGGAAGAGTGAGGAGTGAAGCCTGAACAGAAGTCTCAAGTCTATGGGCAGGGCAGGCAGGCTCAGGGCGGGCAGATGCCCTCAAACTCTCACATGGCTAAGGCATCGACCTGGGGGCTCATCCATGTGCTTGTTCACGGGAACTTTCCCTGCACATACCCATTTGTTAGACTTGGAATATACATTTTAACAAACATTCCAAAGACAGACAACCCATTACAAAGGGGTTGTGAAGACCAAAGTTTGAAGCCTCCAAGTAGCAGGCTTCAGAGATAACAGTCCTTGGATCACTCTTCACTCTGGAATGTCTTGGAGAAATTTTGACTTAAATTGTGAGTCATAGGAAAATATACTATCCTATCTTCAAAAATCCCAGAGACTCTCTGGTTGACACACACAGAACGCATAGGCAGGCACTTGGACTTCAGACTTTTCTGTCCCTTCCATCCCAAGCAAATGCCCCCATCTCTGTCTTGAGCTGGGCCCTCCTTGGCTTGGTTTCAAAGTGGCAACCTGGAAGCTAACCTCTTCCAGCCAGCATTAATGTTGGTGTCCTTCAGAAAGAACCCCACCCACTTCGTTGCGGTTTTTTTTTTTTCTCTTCACATTAAGTTGTCCTTATCTTAATAGACAACAAAAAATAGGACTTCCATAGACTTGTGTGAACTCAAAAGTATCTGAAACAGTTCTTAACCAATTTAGAAAGTTTGTTTTGCCAGTGTTAAGGATGCACCCATGATACAGCCTCAGGAGGTTCTGACGACATGTGCCCAAAGTGGTGGGGTCCAGCCTACTTTTACACATTTTAAAAAGACATAAGACCTCAATCAATGCATGTAAGATTTATATTGGTTTGATCTGGAAGCGTGGGGCAACTTGAGGCCAGGGCTTCCAGGTCATAGGTAGATTTTAAATGTTTGATTGGCAGTTGTTTAGAAGAGTTATTATCAGTGGAAAGGAATGTCTGGATTACAAAGGGCTTGTGGGGACCAAGCTTTTGTCATGCAGATGAAGTTTCCAAGGAGCAGCCTTCAGAGAGAATAGACCGTAAATGTTTCTTATCAAACTGAAGGTCTGTGCTGATGTTACTGCTGCAGGGTATAATGAAGCCTGTCCAACCTCCTCGTCCACCATCGCCTCAGCTAGATTTTCAGGTTAACTCTGGAACGCCTTTGGCCAAGACAAACGGTCTATTCAGAAGGTTGGGGGACCTTAGAATTTTATTTTAGCTTTATACTTGCCACCAGAATTTGCTGGCTTTAGGAGTAACAATTTTGAAAGGATCTTTCTGCAGAAAACAACCCTGTTTCTTCAGTCACAGTGGCAGGAAGATGGAAGGGGTGTGGGCCCCATGGCATCCTTCCTATCCCGCTGGGGACCCTGTGATCGTGCCTCAGTTCTTTAGTGCAACTGTCTCAAAGCAAATAAAGTGGAGGGATAAGCTTGATTCTCAGGGGTGCCAGTTCGACTGAATTTTTACAGGAAGAAATGTGAAACAAACAAACAGAAACAGCAAAAGAATACCTCCAACCCCCTGACACAAGTGGACCTAAGGGTTTGTTGGGTAGAGGAGGACAAGCTCTCAACCTCTCTCACCTCACCTCTCAAGGCCTCACTCCAAACCTGACCTTTATCCAAAATTGCATCTCATCCTACTGAATATTAGCTGGAGCTTATATTTGCTAAGGTAACATTAAGGACATTCACATTTTTTTCAATAGCAAAAAGCCACATTATTCAAACCACAGTGAAAACAACAATACTGGCCGGGCACAGTGGTTCACACCTGTAATCCCAGCACTTTGGGAGGCCGAGGCAGGCAGATCACGAGGTCAAGAGATCGAGACCACCCTGGCCAACATGGTAAAATGCCATCTCTACTAAAAATACAAAAGTCAGCTGGGCATGGTGGAGCATGCCTGTAGTCCCAGCTACTTGGGAGGCTGAGGCAGGAGAATTGTTTGAACCTGGGAGGCAGAGTTTGCAGTGAGCCAAGCTCACACCACTGCACTCCAGCCTGGCAACAAAGCGAGTCTCCCTCACAAAAAAATAAAAAAGAAAGAAAAAGAAAAAAAAAATGCTAATGACATTAAATAAATAAATAAAGCTTTTATTTATTTGTCATTTAGTATTTTCCAAGCCATTTGCTAGGTACTTGTCATCCTTACCAAAACAAACAAAAAAGGGTGAAAAAGATGAGAAGGTGAGGTTGGTCGTTGTCTTAGTCCCTTCAGGCGACTGGAACAAAAATATATGCTGGGTAACTTAGAAAGAACAGAAATTCATTTCCCACAGTTACGGAGCTGGGAAGTCGCAGATCAAGGTGCTGGCGTAGTCGGTGCCTGGCGAGGGCTGCTTCCTGGTCCACAGACGGTGCCTTCTCTCTGCGTCCTCACAACGTGGAAGGGTGGAACAAGCTCCTCCTTGGTGGGCTTCTTGTCTAAGGGCACTCATCCACACTCAAGACCTCATCACCTCCCAAAGCCTCCACCTCTCAGTGTTTCACATTGGGGGTTACCACTTCAACATAAAGGTTTCGGGGGCACACAGCTCAGCAGCAGTTGATCCTTTACCTGTGTGACTGAACTGTAGCACAGCGCAGCTAAAACTGATGCTTACTTTCAAGAGCACGATTGGAGCCAGGCCTATCAGCCTACAAAGCCTGCCTGCTTACACCTTCCGTGGAAACAGGCATCAAGCGGACAAGCTGGGCAACTTCCTGTAGATTTTAGGAGCAGTAGAGGTGAACTAGAAAGATGCATGTTTAATGTGAGTATTGGACTTGACAAAAAGAGGTAATTCAAGTGTATCTGGAAGCTCCAGTCATACTTTATTTTTGTCATGACTCTTTATAATGACCCAATAGCTTAATGTAATTCTAGTGGAATTAGACTTGAAAAGTTTGAATTTATATATTGGATCTCATTCTGCTTCAGTGACAATTGCCCTTAACTGGAGCGTGCTGGCCTGACCCCCTAGCCCATCAGGACACCCAGAGGGAGCATTGGCCAGGACCTGGTTCAGCTGGTCTGGCCAACCAGGTAACACTCCCTTTGCTTAATTCTTCAGGAAGGCTGCACCATATATATTTTTGGCCATACAATCTTCTCATTGGTGGACTCAAGAAGCACAAGACCAAAATTTCAGGGACCATCGCAGAGGCCTGAACGTCCACTGCAGAGCTCATCCAGTCCGAAAATCCTTCTACTTAGCTCATTTGCTTCTACCCGGCCTCAGCTGTCCTCTAGCCTTTTTGTATTTTCCTCTTCTTGTGGTTAGATAACAGCTGCTCAGCAGTCTTCCATAATTACAAGATTCTGACAAACAGTTTCCACCGTAGTAAACCCATAAAAGAGGGTGAAATTCCTATTCCTTAAAGCAGAAAATCTCTGCTTCAGAGGTGTGTGAAGTCTCCGTCTGAAGCTGCAACCTCAGGTTTCAAGCACTAAGAGATGTCTGCAGAAAAATATCAGCAGGTGCTCCTCTGCCCTTGTGAGTGCACGTCCATCTCCTTCCAGGTACGTGCCTGAGTGTGTGCACCTCCCACACACCACAGATCTGAAAGGGAAGCTGGACCCAGCAGGAGCCTAGCATGAAAAGGCCACACACCTTGAGAGGAAAACGGGGACTGACCCAGAAAATGCTCCAATCTGTTTGCACTAAGTTCTTCCTTTACCATTTCCTCCTAATGGCCAGCAGCTCCAGACACTAAAAATACCCACCCTTCCTAAACACTGAGTATCCCAGATTTTATTCTTCATGCAGCATCTGGCAATGGAACCACCTGTCCATGGTATCCTACAATGTTTAATCTGCAGATTGTTTTCATTTATAGGATGGGTATTGGAAGGAATTGGATATCCCAGCAAAGTCAGTTTATGAACTTGTCTTTTTGAGACACAATTTCTCCCAGGTAGAACAGATAATAAGAGCGGTGCAGTACTTCTTTTACTAATTCGTTTGAGTTCACATTTCACATCTCAAAATGCAGGAAGAAAGGGTTTCCAATGTTATTTGACCCAATCCTTGCTTCAATTCTCCTGGCATTTATCTCTCTTGTGTATGAAAAGCTTC